ACCTTGCCTGCCTGTTCTTTAGTCATAAGTTTTAGCCGAATGCCCTTTTCGGTCTCGGCTGATTGAATGATTTTACAGCTGGCCTTTGTGATGGAAAACTTGGTCCTTACCTTCCTTGACCTTGACGTAATAGATGTCCATGGCGGAAAGGTCCTTTGCCCGATTCAAATTTGCCGTTTTGATCTGTTGCTCCCATTCTTGAATCTGTTCCTTACTTGCTGAGGCACTTAATTCTTCAAGAGCCTGGAAGCTCTCAGAGAGCCCGAGTTTTGCTCGCTTCCACTTCTTGCAAAGGCTACTCACTTGACGTTTATTAGCTTAGAAGCAATGTAAAAGCAGTTGAAAATAGATACCCATATTGATCATTTTTTTCCAGTTATTATCCAGCATGTGAGCATCCAACACCTCCGATCTATGGGCCAAAGTCATTGTCCGGGTGGTGCGACCGACCTCGTTGAGAACAGCCCACAAAGTCTCCAATATCTCTCCATCTGTTTGACCGGCCCCAGGGATGAATGTTGGGGCAAATCGTGGAAAGCATATTTCTTGATGGCCATGGACATGGAATAAGCCGATCCCGGCTACCAATAACAAGTCTGGTCTGATCCAGAGGTGTTTCGCACCACGTTTTATCCGAGCCATCAAATTCACCATATACTGGCAGTTGATGTCATAGACAAAAATAACCCTTTTTTCTTCACCGGTCATGGTATTCTTCAGAGCCTGGCACAAGGCATAGTCCATGTTCATTTGCCTGTTTGGTAAATCAACGATTCAACCCGAGGATAACTTGCATACCGTTCTCCCTTTTGAAAATCTACCACCGAACCCGGACAAAAGGTGCCATGTCGAAGGCAAGCAATGGCTCCAATTCCAGTAGCGTCAAAACCTCGGTGAAATACATTCTTGTTGTTGATAGCATTGTGCTCATGACATGTCCTCGGCTGAAAGATTCAGACACCGGCCGAGTCGCTCGAAGGATAAAAACTTACATCATTATCTTCAATCGCGTCCCGAAGGTGGCTCAAATAAGGTCCTCTTTGCGTCATGAAACTATCCCCATTTTTAAGCCAAACATCGTCTTTGGGCCGTGCCTGTTTTTGGTGGGCTGCTGTGAAATTGCCATCGGCTACAAATCCTCTGGTATACTTCCAGTTAGTAGGATCATTGGGGTTTTTGTTCCAGTCATCAGGAAGGTTGACTCCCGGTTGTGGGCAGGTAGGGCAAAAAAAACCCATCTCCCCCGGCGTCGGAGCCTTACCTTTGTGTCCAAATCCAAAAGTAGCCAGTTCGGTAAGATTACGGTATTGTCTACCAACCCTTATTA